CACCTTCCTCGTTCCCTCACCTTACATATTCCCTCAGTCTTTCCCATAATTTTGAACACGGTTCTGTAAAACTTTAAATACCTCCACCGCGAATTGATAAACAGCGTCTCACTTCAGAATGGGAGCGAAAACAGAACAACAACACATCGTACAACCTTTTAATATGTCTCAGATTTTCTCGCCTGTCCCTGATTATTTGTAAAGTTTGGCTTTAACTTTCGCGGGCGCGCGGCGAATTTGCGTGGTGAATGTCACAGCGAAACTGAAACTTGTGACCGAGTGGAGACTAGTGGAGAGAGATGCCGACGTGAAGAGAGGCAAGCTAGTCAGTTTGCTCAGAGAAATTGTTTAAAAGAAAGAAGAGTGAGGTGCGAAACACTGGAAGGGATCATGCAACAGAAAAGCATAGTTTGATAAAAGTTTTACGACATTTGAAAATAAAAAAAGTAGATCTAGGCGTTTTTACGCCACCATCGACACCATTTAGATCATTTTGAAGGAAGGCCACTGACCTTACCTGTCAGAGACAATTCGGGCTGAGAGGGATGCAACATCCTAGCAGAAAGGCCGAAATACTATATTATTATTTCCCCTACTCAGTAACCGAACTCGAGTCTTGTGCATGCGACAGTGTAGCGCCTAGCCACTACACTACAGTCGCCTGTTTTACGGCATTTGCAAAACAAAATAGGTCACAAAAGTGTCGAGAATTAGATGACGAGTTACTAGTGAGTAACCCACAAAGAAAAGAGGAGAGATAGAACAATAAATGTTTGAATGGAAAGAAAGGGCAAACCATACCAGAGCGTCCACCAACCACCCACCAACATAAAAGCATAGACGCGCTGTTATGGTATTAATGATGTTTTGACAGACAACTTATTTAACGAGTATATGGGCTTCACGATGCTTGTCATATAGATAAATAGAAGTCTGGAATGAGGCATCTTTCTTTTACTTTTAGTAAGAGTTTTGAGGCACTTGCAACTCAAAAAGGTCATATAAGTGCCGAAGATTAAAGAGGTGTTACAAGAGAGTAACAAACATAAAAAGGAGGAGGAGAGATAGAGACGATATGTGTTTGATAGGAAAGAAGGAGAAAACCACACCAGAGCACCCGCCAACCATCAACGGCATCTTTCTACCAACATTTACATTTCTGTACATTTCTCTTGAGTGAAAATCCGTCTGTTTTTTCTTTGTGTATGCGTGTGTGTGTGTTTGTGTGAGTATGTATGTATTTATGTGTTTGTGTGTGTGTGAGTGTGTGTGTGTGTGCGTGTGTGTGTG